AGTGGAGTAACTTTCCATCAGACTAAGATTCCGCCTCTTACTGGGGCAATTCACAACCTTCATTAAAAAGACTTACCAAAAGTTCTGGTATCTGAACTGCACAAGTAACTCAAATTCATTTGATTCAACCTCTGTTTCAAATACTTTCTATAAAATTCAAAACAACTGATTTCATTGTTTCTTTCCATTATTGAAAGAGGAGCTCATGAATTACAAGTCCATCTAAAAGACTGCTTAAAAAAAGATATATCATCACAAAACTACCAGAGTATCCCATTCATAAAATTAAGCTTTTTTAAAGCACTATCACCTGAAACTAAAACTTACCCTGCAAAAAAGAGATTTCCAACATACAAGTGATTCATTCAGACTCAAAGCATCTTTTGTAGAGTGCGAAGGGTTGAGACTCGAGTGCCTGGTACACCTGGGTTTAATTTCCACCTCTGCTTTTTATCTACAATACGAGTGATTTGTCTAAGGTTTCTGAGTCTCAGTTTCTTACTCTATGAAATAGGATAAAACTAGTTTCGTAGGGCTGCTGGGAAGATCACTAAAATAACATCTGTGAAACCGCTGGCACAGAATATATATTCAACAGTGTGATTTTCTGCCTTCCTGTCTTTCCTTTTGAAAAGCGACCCACCATAAATAAATAGAAGAAAAGCCTGCACAGGTCAGAAGATGGGAGGTGGCTGAAGCACGGCCAATGCCTTAAGCTAGGAGACCAGGCTTAAGCTTGTATGCTTCTTCTCAAAAGCAAACAGAACAGTGAGATGTAGAAAAACGTTTGTTTCCTCTTAGTTTATTTTTAGAGGCTTGGTAGACTCTGATAAACATCGTGATGATTCCCCCATCTTCATTTATTCATTCACTTGGTTATAAAGCAGTAAGCAAGAAAGAAACTTCCTCCACTGTAGAACTTCCAGTTTTATAAGGGATGGAAATACTGTTAAATACTGTCACGGGCTGAACGGTGTTTCACTGAATTTCATGTGTTGAAGTACTAACCCCTCCGCACCTCAGAATGTGACCTCGCCTGAGGACAGGGTTTTATAGAGGTAATCAGGCTAAGATGAGATTAAGGTGGCCCTAATTCAATATGATTGCTGTTTTTATAAAAGGGGCACACGGACACGCACAGGGGGAAGGCATTGTGAAGAGACAAACGAGGAGGCAAGGAGAGAGGCCTGGAGCAAGTCCTTCCCTCACAGCCCGCCGGAGGAAGGACCCAAGCCTGCTTCCTGCTGACATCTGGATTTTGGACTTCTAGCCCCCAAGCACTGTAAGACAATAAATGTCTGTTGTATTACACCTCCCATTCTGTGGTACTTTGTTATGGAAGCCCTAGCAAACTAAAATACACGATGAGAAATTCATTAGAAATAATTACAAATTAACTGTATACAAAACAACAATTATGGCCACCCTATAAAAAATGTAAATTTTCTTATACCCCTCCTTGTTTCCTTTTTTCTCTTTTCCATTTATCACTCTCTAAAATACTAGTCCAAGATAAGCTCTAGGAGGATGAGCTTTATGGCTGTCTTGTTCGTTCCTACATCCCCAGTACCTGGGCAGTGTCTTGCATACATCAGTACTTACTCAAAACACTTGTACTGAATAAACAAATGGAATAGTGATACGAAAAAAAATACAAGATGATGTAGTGAGTACATATAAAAGGGAAATATCACCTTGTCTGGGAGATCACTGATTTCCCATGGAAATTGCAGTGAAGCTGAGTAAGTGTTGGGAAAGCAGATGAGGTCACCAAAACCATCAAGAGAAGGAGACAATTTCCCACAAAGAGAAAAGAGGGCAACAAAAGCCCTGCAACTGCAAAGAACCTGATAAAAGAAGTGAAAGATAAGCAAGTGGTTGGATCACAAGGAAGGAGTAAGGGAGGCAGGCAAGTCCGGGAAATGACAGGTTTCATGTACTAAAAGCCACTCACACTGAAAGCCTTTCATACGGCAGGAGGGCAGCAAGGCGGAAGGAGTATGATCAGAAGACTCACCAATTTTAAGACAACCTGGCTTCTGAGTACTAATGAATTCCCGAGGGTCAAGAGTAGATTGGGGGTGACTAGTTAGGAAGCAACTGTGACTAGCACAGTGGTGGAGATAAGACTAAGAAATACATGAAATCAAGAGACAGAAGACGGGGACTGACAGAACATAAGAAACCAAACGTGTGGGCCAGGAAAGGGAAAAATGTTATATATGAAGGATAAAAACCTAGAATGGCAAGATAGTTAATGGTGGCAATGCTGGAAGATATATTAGTGAAAAAATACCTTCAAAATTTGTAGGGAAAAATCTTTCCAAACTAAAATTGTAAAGCCAGTCGTATAATCAATCAATAGTAAAGGTAATATTCCCAGTTATGTATGGTCTTAAAAAATATCCCTCCATAAACCTTTTTCTCAGGGAGTTTCCTAAAATTGTATTCCACCAAAACAAGGAAAGCAAAGAGGCAGATCTGTTTGCTGAAATAAAATGAAGCACACAGCACCGAGGAGAACACCATGCCCAGAAGGTTGGTGAGAGGGAACTCCAGGACAGCAGCAAAGAGCGGCCAGAGCAAATGGAGTAAGACAGCACCGGAGGCTGGGGGCTGCCTCAGGCGGGGTGCTCCTGAGACAGTAATGATTTGATCGACATCGATGTGTTTAAATGCATTAGCAAGTAATACACATTTCTGGTAAATTAATACTAGGTAAATAGAAAACCAAGCAAGTGAAAGAAAATTATTAATTATTAAAAAATAGAATGTTTTCTTGAAAGGAATTATAACTGTAGGGGAGGAAAAAAATAATTTTTTCCCCAACCTTCTTAGTTCTTTGCTGGTAACCCTATATAACAAAAGACAAATTAACAAAAGAAAAACAAACAGAAATTTATTAACGTGCATATCCTACATATACACAGAAGATACCTAGATTAAAAAGATGTGGCTTGGAACACTGGCTTAAACACCACTTTCAGGCAGTTCCCCCAATCACCGCCCCCCCTCAAAAAAGGTGTTTTGGGGCAGTGACTAGGAAAAACACAGTCAACAAGAATAAGGTCTGTTATACAGATTTAAGGCAGTGCCTTCTCCACTGATATGAAGACTAACTTATCTCTAGAGACAGAAAGCAGATGATGAACACAGATACCTTTGTAAATTTATGTCCGGTTTTTAGGCAAATAAGGGGAAGGCAGAGAGCACCTTTAAAAAAAAAATATCTGCTTCTCAGCTGCCTTCAGCTAAAAGTACCATGATTAATTCTTGTGCCACAGTAATGTATTTTGGGGTGGCATATTCTGCTTCCCTTCATAACCATATTATGTATGTTGTCTGGTGCAAACTGTAAAGTATCTAACTAAATATTAGACTTACAAAAAATTACGACAATAATCAGAGGATGGGAAGAAAGCAAAGGCAGGAGTCAGATGCACAAAAGACCAAATCTTCATGCTTTCATGTTGGGACATCAATCAACTGTTAACAAGAAGAACTGAAACACTTCAAGAAGCAGCAGAAAGAACAATCTTTTCATAAAAATAAGTATAATTCCCAAGACAAAAGTGGAAGTCCTGACAACTGTTATCTCCAAGGAGTGGGAATGAAGACAGGCTGATGGTGGAGGAAGGGAGTTTTGTTTTTTTATAATAAGCCTTGTAGATAAAAGTGATTTTTAAAAAACTATTGCATGTAAAATATTAGTAAAAATGTTTAAAAGAGAGAAATCAATATTTGAAATCTGACACTAAATCACAACACATGACTAAACTATAATGCTAAGCACTTAAGCTTTAGAAGTGCCTGAAAGTTGTTTGTTTGTTTTGTTAGTATATACTGAGGTTTACTATAGGGCAAAATCAATTGTCTTAACATGACCTATTTATGTAGTAAAGTTAAACTTTTTTAAGATATGTAAATGGAGGGGCACAGATATTTGTATACTGTCCTGCCTGTATCTACTTCTCCTTCTTCTTTAGTGTGACATATGTATTAGATACCATTTTTTAGTGATTTAAATTACTTTTTCTCCACGTAAATTTTGTTTTATTATTACAAGCCTCAGTTTTGCCAATTCAGTGATCTACTGATAGTCTCTCTCTCCTGTCTTGAGAAAAATTGCTTTGATTTCCCAAAAGTTGATTTAAAAAAAAAATCACACCTCACTTATCTTTTAGCAACAGAGCTGTGACCCCTGTTGCCCAGCCTCCGGGCTGCAGACAGTCTAGTGCGCACAGGCCCCGCCTACAAGCAGAGCCTGCAGGCCAACCACATCCTCCCCCCTCCCCAAACAGATCGCTGTCTTATCTGCCCCTTCAAAGCTTAAGAACTGAAAAAAGAAAACAAATTACTCTTAGCACAACTAAAATACATCCATGCCTGGTATACTCACCCAACAACTATTTATTAACTATCTTCTGTTTGCCGAGTACTTAAATGTAAATTTAAACTAAAAACAAACCTAACAGACAATAACAGCTACCTACCTAATTGACAAAACAGTAATGTGCTCGCCCTGGGAAAGATATGTACAAAGGCCATTCAAGGAAAAGGAAGTGATAAAATTAGGAAGTTGTTAATACCTAATAAAGTAAAAACTTTTAGGCACAAATTTGCAAGCTTTAAGTGCTGAAATTCTTTACAGAAATAATGTCATTGAGTGACTCCAGGACAGGCTGGAAAGGCAGAAATGTTTCCATTTTAATCCCATTTTCTTCTCACAGATTTGCCTTGAGAGCAACTAATTAACATTTGCAAATTTGCAAAGTGCTCAGTGATAAGCTCAAAGTAGAATGAATGTTAGTCACAATCAAAAAGCAAGCACACTGACTGAAAAAAAAGTCACTGCCTTAGTAAACACAACTAAAATTCAGTCTTAAGTAATATTAATACATTTTTATCAAACATTAATATAAAAACTTAAAAAATATATACTTAAGTAAAAAACTGCAACTCAAATTCTCTGCAAACAATGAAAATATCACACAACTTACGATATTTACTGTGAATTTCATCTATTTCCTTTTCTGTTTGATCCTTCGTAAAAACCATTATCTAAAACAATACAAAAATTGTTAATTAAAAATTCATTAAATGACAAAAATAGAAATCAGGACTATAAACTTTAAAATCTCAACTGTGGATGTTTAAAATACAGTGAAATAATCTCTCACCTCTGTTTATATATAGGAAAAATAACTCTTGTATACTTCCCTTCAATATCATAATTAGTATATAATTTACCCAATGCTTATTTCTAATCAGTAGAAAATACAACATGGATTCCATTAGGACATATGAAGTACCAATATAACAAATTTCATATTTTCAATCCTTAATTTTTCACATTTATTAATACAATAGGTGACACTTCAAAGTACAAGACTAGAGACATTTAGATCATTAATAAGGCAAATCTTGCTTCCTTTCTATCTTTTCCAAAGTAACTCCCTCAAATCTATAAGAAATGTAATACAGGGGAAATATAAGATGTAAGTTAAATTTCTGGTTCCACTTTTTAAAATCTAAGACTTAAGAGATCAGAAGTCTACTTACATTATTCATCATCAGACACTTACAGTCTCCACCTTAGAGTCTGCACATAGGTAGTAACAAAGTCAAGGAAAATCTCATTTTCTCCACTATCTGATTATAAACTCACTTCCCTAAGGTCGTTGTTTTCCTTACAAACACATTACTGATGATCTAGAAAAAAAAAAAAAAAAGAGCCCAAAACACTTCCTCCAGTGTCATAGGACACAATGACTATTTTCTTCTTTGGCATCCTTCCTCAAGTTTTGGCCCATCAAGCTAGAAGAAGGCAACAGTGAAAAATTTTAGGCCTCTGATCCCTTCAATAAGCTCAACAGATAATCCTCATAAACTCCTATAATTACTTAACCTTCTCAATCAGTATAATCACAGAATGCAGAGTTCCAGAGGTAAGGAGATCTTAGAGATCATAGAGTTCAACTCCTGAGTTTTACAGAGGACAAGGGCTGTAGAGTTGTTAAACAGCTTATCGGATGCAACCAGCAGAGAAAGGACCAATACAAATGCTACCTGATATACCCGTATGGGCATATGCTTTTTCTAAGGGCTATAACTCACTAATAAATTCTGCTTTAGATTGCATGTTGTACTAGAAGACTGATAAATATAATAGAATTTGGTGCTAAAGCATGAGCTGCAAGTAAATGATAATATATTAAATGGAAATGTGTTCTAGTACATTTCCCATTGAACAGATGTAATACACACTGGCTGCTTTAATTTTAGCAGAGTACTCAACTTTACTTTATTTCTACCCAGATATTGAAACAGACCATAACATACACTTTCATTGAGTTTACTAGCTTCAAGACGCATCCTAGTCTTCTCCATATTTTCAATTTCTTGAACTATTTCAGCAGCTGTTAAAATAAACACATAGAGCCAATGTTAATGACATGGTTTTACGCACTGTGCAAGGGTCACATGAGTTGTTAACAATGAAGCCAGATGATGGGAACACAAAATCCCTGTCTTATTTTTATTATTTTTCTGTAAGGCTACAGTTATTTCAAAATAAAACTTTTAAAAAATAACAGAGTTGAAACGCTGAACTCATATATGCAAACAGTTTAAAATGTTACCAAAACTACAATAAGGTCACTGTGCTCTTCCCTTTGAGTATACAGGTGTAAATAGCAGTCTCAATAGAACTGAAAAATTAGTTTATTAATGTGAATTCAATTATTAGTAAACACACAAACTCCAGTGCACTCAATATGCACTCAAACTCCAATATACTATATATGTACAGCAGGCTACTTTCAAGGAGACACAGAGGTCTACAAATACCAGGGGGAAATGGCCTTGCCTCCAGAACTTCTGTTAGCAGGTGCAGTTACCAATCACAGACATCAGAGACCTGGAATACACTCTGTCACATACATAAACACCTTGGACTGCAACAGCACTGAATTTGCAAGCATTATTTTTCTGCCTCCAAAGTCAACATACTAAAACTAAAAAATATATAGTATAGAATAAAAATCTACAATCCCACCCTGGCTGGCGTAGCTCAGTGGATTGAGCCTGGGCCTGCGAACCACACAATTGCGGTTCGATTCCCAGTCAGGGCACATGCCTGGGTTACAGGCCAGTTCCCAACAGGGAATGCGCAAGAGGAAACCATACATTGATGTTTCTCTCCTTCCCTTCCCCAGTAAAAGATGAATAAATAAAATCTTAAAAAAAAATAAAAAAGATCTACAATCCCCTCCATACATTTATACACAAAAAGACTCTATGTCTGGACTTTGCTTCAAAACGACCCGTGGGCGGGAGGAAGGCAGATGACAGAGGACACTCGGGGGCGTGGGTGGGTCCGCATGTTAAATGGGATAGTAATACCAGGGGAGTCACACTCCTCACTCCCTTTTCATATACACCTGATAGATTCCCATTTTAAAGATTTTTATAAAAACCAGTCACCAAAAGGATCGTTTAAGAATGCAATGACCTCAATTTAAAGTTTCGTTTAAATAAAAGGTACACTGGGAGTCTTCCAGCAAAGATGGAGGTGCAGGTGGATTCACTTGGCTTCCTCGCACAACCAAAAGTAGGAGAACAACCACTTTGACCATTTTGACCTAAATGAGATGTCCATCTTTATCTCTCGGAACACTTTTTGCCTTAAAGTCTATTTTCTCTGCTATTAATGTTTAATGTTGCCACATCAGCTTTTGGTTAGTGTTTGAGTGGTACATCTTTTCACATCCCTTTATTTTCAACCTTCCTGGCTATTTGTATTAAAGTGTTTTCTTCTAAACAGTATGTAATTCCCTCTTATTTTTACTCCAGTCTTTACGTTTAAAATGATCACAGTTTACCATGTTGCTGTTTTCATTTTGTCCATTTTTCTTTTTAAAAAATATTATTCCACCGTGGCTGGTGTGGCTCAGTGGATTAAGTGCTGGCCTATAAACCAAAGGGTCACCAGTCTGATTCCCAGTCAGGGCACATGCCTGGGTTGCAGGCCAGGTCCCCCAGTAGGGGACATGTGAAATGTAACCATACACTGATGTTTCTCTTCCTCTCTTTCTCCCTCCCTTCTCCTCTCTCAAATAAATGAAGGAATAAATAAATAAAAATAAATAATGGGGTATATCACGAGGACAAGGAACTAGCATAAAGAAGCGTCCACTGGCCAAACCTGGAAAAACATAAAACCAAAATAATTAAGGATGACAATAAGTTGTAAGTATGTGAATCTACACTGATCATAAATAAAGAAAAAAAAGAGGGCTCTTGTTTTCAAAATCGTGGCAAGTGGCAAATGTAGAAAAATCACATTTGGCAACTACCAGAGGAAAGGTAAGTTCAGGTAAAATTACCAAAGAATGACAGAAGGGTGAAATTTTAATGAACTATAGAATATATGGTACTAAAATGTCTCTCTAGACTTCTCTGTTAGCAAGGGTAAACTATACAATGGAGAAACCGACAAGATGACCAAAACTGCCATCACAAATGAGGGACACGAAGATGTCAAATACCTCTGGATATTACTGATATTTTGAAAAGGACAAAAGATCACTTATATAGTATTGAAACAAGTCAAAAACAGGAAGGAGTTGTCAGCAGTTCATCAACATTCAGGAATGTACAACCTGAATGTTATAAGAAAATATTAGACAAAGTCAAATTGAGAAATATTCTATTTGGGGAAAAAAACCCAAAAAACAAAGACTGCATTCTTTTTTAAAAAACAGTGTTGTTAAATGACAAAAAAAAAAAAAAAGGTTGAGGAATTGTTCAGATGGAAAGAGATGGAAAAGATATTACAACTAAATACAGTGGTGATCTGAAACTGGACTGAGTGTTGGAGGGGAAGAAAATCTATACAGGCCATTTCTGAGTCCACTGAAGAAACCAGAATAGAGATGGTAAGGTACTATAACTAAGCTGAATTCACAGAAACTGATTAACTATACTGTGGCCATAAAAGAATATCCTTTATCTTAGGAAATACAGAATGAAGTAATTTGGGATAAAGAGTCAAGATTATATAACTCACTCTCAGATTTTTAAAAAAACTTGTGTGTGCATAAAGATGTACACACATGAACACATATTCACACAGAGAGAAACAGTAATAAATAAGGCAAATGAGGAAATACTGATGGTAAGTCTGGGTAAATATGTGCATGTTCATTCCAACAGTGCTTCAGCTTTCCCACAAGGGTAAAACTATATCCAAAGAGAGATTTTTTTTAACGAATGAAAACTTAAGACTTTTTCAGACAAATAAAAGCTGAGAATTTGTCTCAACAGCACATTTACACTACAAGAAATATTAAATAATGGCTTGGTGGTGATGAACTACTTTAGCTTTACCTCGTCTGGAAAGCACTTTATCTGCCCTTCCATTCTAAATGATAGCTTTGCTGGAGAGAGTAATCTTGGATGTAGTTCTTGCCTTTCAGGACTTTGAATCTGAATACTTCTCTCCAGCTCCTTCTTGTCTGCAAAGTTTCTTTTGAGAAATAAACTGATACTCTTATGGGAGCTCCTTTGTAGGTAAATGTCTCCTTCTCTCTTGCTGCTTTTAAGATTCTCCCCTTATCTTTAATCTTGGGTAATTTAATTATGATGTGTCTTGGTGGGTTTCTCCTTGGATCCGACTTCTTTGGGATTCTTTAAGCTTCCTGGACTTGCATGTCTAGTTCCGTGGCCAGACTAGGCAAGTTTTCCTTCATTATTTTTTCAAGTAAGTTTTTAATTTCTTGCTCTTTGTCTTCTTCTCCTGGCACCCTATACCTGATGTTGGCATATTTGGAGATATCCTAGAGGTTCCTTAGCCTATGCTCATTTTTTTTTTTTTGAATTCTTGTTTATTTTTTTGTTCTGGTTGAATGTTTATCTCTTTTTTACTTTCCAAATTTTTGGCCTGAATCCCAACTGCCTTCTCTCTCTGTTGGTTTCCTGTGGCTTATTCTTTACTCTGCTTAGTGTGACCTTCATTTCTTCCTTTATTTTATTTTATTTTTATTTTTATTTTTTGCCATACTCAAGGAGAATGGAGAAATGGTGTAGGGATTAAGAAGCATAATTGGTAGGAACAAAAACAGACAGGGGGAAGTGAACAATAGCATGGGAAATGGAGAAACTAAAGAACTTACACTCATAACCCATGGACATGAATTAAGGGGGGGAACTTCTGGAGGAAAGGTGGTTACTGGGCAGAGGAAGGTAAAAGGGGAAAAAAACTGGGACAACCATAATAGCATAATTAATAAAATACACTTAAAAAGAAAACAAAATTATTGTTGACAAGATTAAGAGAAAAAATATTAAATAAACTTTTTCTGGCCAAAAGAAAAAGACACCAAATGAAAACCTGGATCTTAGCAACAAAATGAGAAACACTAGAAATAGCAAATATGTGGGCACATACAACCTTCTGCATTTTTTACTTATGAGAAAACTGACAGTTTAAAGCAAAAACAATAGTAACAACATATTATGGGGGTTATAGCACATATAGAAAAACACCTATGACAACTATAAAACAAAGAATAGAATCAGAAGGTACTTCAGTTACACATGTAGAATATAATGAAGGTAGACTGACAGGATGCAAATGTTAAACTCCAAAATAATCACCAAGCAAGTTAAACAGAGGTATAGGTAAAAAGACAATAGTGCAAATAAAGTGGAAAACTAAAAAATACTCAATCCAAAAACAAGAAAGGAAGGAAAACAAACAAAGAATAGAAAGGACAAATAGAAAATAAAGAACAAGATGGTAGACTTACACCCAATCAAAGAGATTAAACAAAATGAAAGTTAAATGAAATTTAAAAAGCAAATCCAAACCATATACTTACAAAAAAATTTAAAAATTAAAAAAAAAGTTTAAATAGAATAACATAATAGGCTTTTAAAAAAGTGAACTAAGATAAAACACAGCAGCTATATTCAAAGCAGATAAAGTAGCTTTTCAGACAAGGAATATAACCAGGGACAAGGAAAATGTTTCATAACAATAAACAGGCGAACTCATCAAAAAGACACAACAAGATCAGATGCACATACACCTAAAAGGAAAAATGGGAACATTTACGAATATACTTGGAGATTTCAATAATCCTCTCAGTAATTGTTAGGACAGTACACATGTATCAATAAGGATGTATAAGACTTGAATATACTATCAAGCAACTTTACATAACTAACATTTATAGATCACTGAACAAAAAAGCAAAATTCCCAAGTGTTTATGTAACATTCACCAAGGAAGAACAAATACTGAGTTATAAAACAAGTCTCAATAAAAGAAAAAGGTCTGACATCATACAGAATTGGTAAAGTGTAATAAAATTAAAAATGAATAATAAAAAAGATATCTGGGATATATCTGAAC